ACAAAGATAAATAATTAAAATTTGTTTCCTAGAGAATTTAAATGGCTTTTTTCCTGCCTAAATCTAGAAGAAATGGCCGTTTTCTTTTAGTGGAGAATCTTTGAAGATGGGATTATCGTTCCGATGTTTATTTCCCTGTTCTGGAAGTGTGCTCAGGTCTTTCCTTTCTTTCAGCAGGCCCCCATGAAGACCACCTCTAATTCTTCCACAGGCACCCTGGACTCTGATGAAAAACAGGCAGCGTCCCCCCTTCCTTCCCAGCAAGTCCCATCTCTACTGCCTTGACTCGAATGCCAGACCTTGTCCCATGGCCCGCAGCCTGTGAGCACTGAGACAGTGTAGACTTCATATTTCCCATTCCACACCTCATGAAATCTAGCTCCCTCCCTCCACAAATTGTGTTTGCTTCTGCCTTAGTTAATTTTTCATTGCTGTGACAAAACACCATGACCAAGGCAACATATAAAAGAAAGCGTTTGATTTGGCAGCTCGAAGCTCCAGAGGGCGAGTCCAGGACCATTGTGGCAAGGATGCAGACAGCAAGCCGGCAGCCATGGTGCTGAAGCTGTAACTGAGAGTTTGCCTCTGATCCACAAGCACCAGGCAGAAAGCTAACTAGGAGTGATGTGAGCTTTTGAAACCTCAAAGCCCACCTCAGTGACACACCTCCTCCAACAAGGCCACACCTCCTAATCCTTCCCAAAATGTTCCACCAAGCATCCAGATATATGAGCTTACATGGGCTGTTCTCATTCAAACCACTACAACAGCATCCCTTCCTTCTCTCAGTTTCTTATGAGGGTGGGAGGGAGGTGGGCTAAAGGTATTTTGCTGCCTCCTCTCCAAATTCTGTGGTGGGATTACTCCTCTCCGCAACTCAGAATATTGCCTCTAGGGCACCTGATATGTCTACTAATATGTCATTTCTCTTGCTTTGGTAATACACTCTAACAAAAAGCAACTAAGGAAAGAAAGGGTTTATCTTATGGTTCCAGGTTCCAGCCATTATTTCAGGGAAGTCAAGACAGGAGTTAAAGTGTTACATCCATAGTCCAGGGCAGACAGAGAACAAATACATGGATGCTTGCTTGCTCTTAGCTACCTTTTTCCTCTCTTACACGGTAGAGGATTTTTCCTTGGGCCACCAGCTCACAAAAAAATGACATGGAGACTTATTATTAATTTGAAATCTTGGCTTATAGCTTAGGCTCATCCCACTAACTCTTTTTTTGTTTGTTTGTTTGTTTGTTTTTGGGTTTTTTTTTTTTTTTTTGGTTTTTCGAGACAGAGTTTCTCTGTATTGTCTTGGAAGCTGTCCTGGAACTCGCTTTGTAGACCAGGCTGGCCTCGAACTCACAGAGATCCACCTGCCTCTGCCTCCCGAGTGCTGGGATTAAAGGCGTGCACCACCAACGCCCGGCTCCCACTAACTCTTATAACTTAAATTAACCCATTTCTATTCATCTACATGTTGCCACGTGAGTCATGGCTTTTACCTCTCTTCCTGCACATCTGTTCCCTCTGCATCTGGCTGGAGACTCTTCCTTTTTTCTTCCTAGAGCTCTCTGTCCCCAGGAGTCCCACCTAATCTCTTCCTGTCGAACTAATGTCCATTCAGGTCTTTATTAAACCAATCACAGTGACACATCTTCACACAGTGTAAAGGAACATTCCATAACAGTACACTGTTCAGGATCTCTTGCCTAGGGAATGGTGCCACCCACAGTGGGCTGGGTCTTCCTACATCAATAAACAAACAATCCTTCACAGACATGCCCTCAGCCCAAGCTAATGTAGGAAATTGCTCATTAAGTCTCTCTTCCCAGGTGATACTAGATTTCCCTGCCCCCCCCCCTGCACCAATGCCCCAAGAATAGCCACTAGGTACACACCAGTGACACTCTCCAGCTCCCGAGACAGCCTGAATAGAAGTCTACAGCCATTGCTCTCCTGGCCCTGTTTCCTTCTTTCCTTCCTTCCTTCCCTTCCTTCCTTTCTTTCTCAGTTTCATCTATGTGGTTACATTTTAGTCTATTATCACTATTCTATTACTATTACTATTCTTCCCCATAGGAGATTAAAAATAACCAAACAAAAGTTGCAATTTTTCAGGATCTGGATGATCAATCTTTATAGTTATTACGTTTGGTCCCGAATAAGCATATTTTCTTAAAGATATGAGCAGAAAAAAACACAAAGGTAGAAGAAAAATCACAAAGGTAGAAACACAGCTGGCAGTTAGAAGACAGTATTCAACCTCACTGGTAACCTAGGAAGCAGAGGCTAGAGGAAATACTATATTTACCTTTGAAATGATTAAGTTCTTTTATAATGATATTTGAAAATAACAAGTGTTCGATAAAATGAGAACCTTCTAGTGTTGTCAGTGAAAATATAAACTGGAGATCAAAAGCCTTAAAATTTTTTCATTCTCCTTTAACAATTCCCTATTATGACTGAACATAAAGAAATAACCTGAAATACAATGGGCTTTTATGACATTTTATTTAGTGTGTGTGCATGCATGAGTGCGTGTACACGCACTCAAGAATGTGCCAGGGTCAGAGGACAACTCGTAGGTGTCCTTTTCATTCACTGTGTGAATCCCGGGGATTAAACTCAGGCCGCTGGCTGTTGCCTTTACCCGCTGCTTGGTACGGAGTGATGTTAAAAGTGAGGAAACACCTAAGGACCAGCCTGTGGGGGTGGCTGCGGGAGTGTGCTCAGTTGTACATCTTGAAGGGCAGCAGTGGTCCCAGCTAAGCAGCTGTGGGAGCCACAGAACGCTAGCAAGTCTCCGGGTCAGAATTGGCCGCATTGTTTACATCTCATATTACAAACAGAACGCTCTGGAATCCAGAGATTTGTTTCTCATCCAATAGTCCATGTATTAAGCTACCCTTAACCAATTAAAAAAGAGTAAAATGTGGTAAGAGAACACAAAGACTTTTACTGCCTAGCCATTCTTCTGACCACACTAAATGATCCCGATTACCACAGTAATAAATACTTTGATCTTGAGTGCTGACCATGTGGAGAAGGTCTCGATGCTTTGATGTTTCTCGTTTATCCTTTTGTTTGATGGTAGTAGGGATGGAACGCACTCACTACTCCCCCTCCAGCCCCTTATTGTCATTTTACACATTTTGCCATGCCTGTGCCTGCTTAGACATCTCCAGGGCTCCACCGCGCTTTCCTCCCAGGCTCTGTGTCCTGTGTGGCTCTGCTTGTCCTAGGGGACGGGACCACATGAGTTTTGCCCTGGAGACCCAGGCATCCAGCTTCTGGTACTGGGACAAGGCTCTGTTCTGCAATAAAGAAAAGAGTTCCTAGCAGATGCTGGGGGCCTGGATAGCCTGTCTTAGGGGGTGGCAGCTGGCAGAAGATCCCCCAGGAATCTCAAGGGGGCACTGTGAACCTGTCCATCTGAACATCAAGCAAAGCACAGGGCTTCTTCACCTGGCTACCACAGCCCACAAGGTGCAGTCAGGAACCAGGGCACTACAGGTCATTGTATTCTGTGGTTCCATATTAACCCTTTCCCACCCACACCCACGCCCTGGGAGGCAGAGGACCCATGCAGTGTGCCTGTGGGATTGGCCTGTGGAAAGCCTCCACCCCCACACCATCTGCCAGAGTCCTAGGGATTCAGCCACCCCAGGCTTGCTCCCTTCCAGGCCACATCAGGTCAAGGGAGGCTTCTCGGTCCTACTTCTTTGGAAAAACCCTGGCAAGCTTTACTTTCCTCCCAAGGGGGAGGCGAAGAAAATTCAACGCAGTCAGCGAAATGCTAGGGAAAAGCTAGCTGAGCCCCAAGTAGGATCCTCCAGTCTGCGGCCCTTGGCTTTGTCGCCTCGTTTTTTAAATATATATATATATATATATATATATATATATATATATATATATACATACATGTATAGTTTTAAAACTAAGTACTACTAGAAATTAAAATTGTGTGTGTTACATTGTGCTTCTAATTCCTCTGCTAATTTGATTTCTATGTGCACCCTACTTATTTACTGTTGTGGATGTCAGTGGTTGGAATTGTGCGGGGACAGTGGTGACATGTGTCAAAGCCTGCCTAAGTCAGAACAATTTTGTGTTATCAGTTCCTCCCTGTAGCCTGTGCGGGTTCTAGACTTAGACTCGGGGTTCTAGGATTCTTTTGTTCTGTTTTGTGTTTTTGTTTTTTGAGACAGGGTTTCTCTGTGTAACAGCTCTGACTGTTTTGGGACTAAGCTCTGTAGACCAGGTTGGCCTCGAACTCACAGAGATAGATCCTCCTTCCCCTGCCTCCCCACTGCTGGGATTAAAGGCATGAGCTACTACTGCCTTGTGGTTTCTAGGATTTTTAAGGCATATGCCCTCCCTGCTCAGCCATTTTGCTTGCCCTGTAACACCTTATTTTTAAGTTATAAAGATCCCTAGCTGTTCTTAAATTTCTCAGCTTTAAATTGTGGCTACCTCTCTAGAATGGCAGCTTTTAAAATCTAAACAATTTAAAAAATGATAAGGCTGGTGGTGATGACTTTTTTTTAAGTGTGTGTGTGTGTGTGTGTGTGTGATGCGAACTGTGTACACAAAAGATGTTTATGGCTTTATTGGTTATGACAGAAGATTGCTACAATCTGAGTGCCCAGCAGAGGTGATGGGTAAATAAGGTATGCCTGCCAGTGTTCTTTAGCTATTATAAGAAAGAATAAATTCTCCCCTTGTATTGGCACAAGAAGAATGGATGCTATCATGTGGAAAGTGAATGTCAGGACATTGTGTAGCATAAAACCACAGGATTGCTCAACTCTGAGAACAGAGAAGTGTGTCTACAAAATGAAAATGTAAATAAATGTCCAGAAGAAAGTCTAGGGGCTGGGGGATACCTCTCCAAGTGGGCCACTGTGGAGATGTTTACTGGGGGTTTATACTAAGGGATCCCAGGTAGCAGCAATTAAAGGCAGGTTCAAAATTCCCTGGAAGTAAGACAGTGTTTACAAGGAGAATATTTTCAAGTGTCATTTAGTTAATTAACGACCCAGTTTCGGTTCCCAGGATCCCCAATTACAGCAGATCACAGTCTCCTGGAACTCCACCTCCCAGGGAATTTAGCACCCTCTTCTGGGCTCCATGGGTTCCTTCATGTACCTGTGCAAACACACACACACATACACACACACAAATAAAAATTATTTTTGAAATATTAATGTTTAGGCCGGGCGTTGGTGGCGCACACCTTTAATCCCAGCACTTGGGAGGCAGAGGCAGGCGGATCTCTGTGAGTTCGAGGCCAGCCTGGTCTACAAGAGCTAGTTCCAGGACAGCCTCCAAAGCCACAGAGAAACCCTGTCTCGAAAAACCAAAAAAACAAAAACAAAAAAAAAAAAGAAATATTAACGTTTAAAAGAAAAACAAGATGACATTTACAGTTTCAGTCCATCTTTGCCTTCCATACATACTTCTGTTCATGAATTTTTTTTAAGGTTTATTATGTATATAGTGTTCTGTGTGCATGCATTCCTGCATGACAGAAGAGGGCATCAAATCCCATTATAGATGGTTGTGAGATGCCATGCAGTTGCTGGGAATTGAACTCAGGACCTCTGGAAGAACAGCCAGTGCTGTTAACCTCTGAGCCATGTCTCCAGCCCTATTCATGAATGTTTAAATATTTGGAGTTTCATAACTAGAACCTTTTATTCAGATCCAAAGCAAAACCAGCCCAAAGAGCCCCTATTTTCTTCCAGGTATTCGGTCTGTGCTGGTTGCTTTGTTCCGTTGTAGTGGTTTATAGCTGGTGCTTATAGCTGAGTTTCTGTTTCCAGCAGAGAGCCACTTAGTTCTCCAGCAATCACAGCTTTCTCTTGTAGGAATGCTTAGCGTCTATAAACTGGTTAAAAAGGCCAGGCAGTACTGCACCCTTACATGCCTGCAGGGACTTGGACTCAACTAGTGGTATTGAGGGAATGAAGAAAAGACAAATGCAGACAGACAGGAAAATCTGGGAGTTGGTGGACGAGGATCTCTTGCTAGAGAAACCTCAATACCCTGGAAGCCCAGCATGTTTATTATAGAGAGTTGAACAGAGAGGCGGGGCTATTAAATACAGATAAACAAGAAGGTGGGATCTTTGGTGTATAGCTGGGTCAAGGAGAGATTAGCTAATCTCGGGGCAGTGGGGACATCTTCAGTCCTTGGGTGTCTCTGGAGAGAAAGCTATGGTGGACATTTTCCATACCTGTTGTCAACATCCTCACTTGGACCAGAGGAAGGCTTTGGCAGGCCTCCGAGCCTCATCCCCAGAGAAAAGGTCCTTGCATGGCTGTGCTTGTGTCAACAGTACATTCACTACCGACTTCACTTGTCCAGGGCTGTCTCTGCTCCCTACTGGTGGGCGGTACATGCTTTTAATTAACCCAGCCCTTAGGAGGCAGAAGCAGGTGGATCTCTGGGTTTGAGGTAGCCTGGTCTACATAGCGAGTCCCAGGCCAGCCAGGGTTACATAGTAAGACCTTCTCTCAAAAAGTGGGGGGAGGGGGAGAAGAGAAAATAAAGCAGCTTGCATCATTAGTGTCGGTTCCCTCCCCAAGGGCATTTGCACAACAATATAAGGACCCGCTAGAGGTGGGGGTGGGGCAGGGATGGAACCGGTACAGACCCGGGGGTGCCAGACTGTTCAGGAAACTCTAGAGTCTCTGAGACAGGATTTCAGGTTTCTGAGGGAGGTATCTGGGGACTTGGGCACCTGGGTGGCGTCCCTCCTCCTCTCCATGCCTATCTGCTTTTGAGAGGAATCCACAGGGTTAGAAATGGAGCGTGGAGGAGGGGAGACAAAGAAGGGAGGGAGGAAGGAAGGAAGGAAGGAAGGAAGGAAGGAAGGAAACAGAGGAATAGACTGAGACTCACCAGGTCCTCCCATGCCGAGCTAAATAGAACTATTCAGTAAGCTGCAATCCCAGGGGACATCCTCAAAGGTGCAACCAGATAGGAGAAAAATGTTTGCAATTGCAGGTCAGAGGTAGCTCGAAGAAGAGCACAGTCGGCACATTCTCTCCTGAGTTCCGTGTCCTCCTTGTTTTTGATGTTCCCAGGGAGCGCAATCCCCGCCCCCCTGTGCCCTCTGCTCGAGAAAGGCCATCCCGGTTAGCTTTGATTGAGTGCTCGCATTCCACTCCATTCCTTATCACAGCATTCCTGACCAAAAGGAGCAGCTGATGGAGAACGGGCTCTGGCGACAGACAGCGCTCCAGACACCCGGGGGCTTTCTCCCTGCAGTGCAAACGCGCGGAACAGTGACGAAAGGGGCATTCAGACAACTTGGGCTGTGTGCCTGCTGAATACTCCGGCGTCCGTCCTTCGCCTCGCCTCCTTGGTTCAGGGGGCAGCCACCGGCCCTTGTCACAGCATCCTCTCACCGACACGCCTCAGTTTGCTCCGAAGAAGCTGAGCACAGACCTTGCCAGCTGGAAACGCGCGTTCTCGGTTAAAAAATAACAACAGAAAAGAAGAAGAAAAAATCTGTAGGAGAAAGGGCAAAGAGCGGATTCAAAGAGCAGTTGCACATCCCAGAAAGAACAACTCTCTTGTAGCTCCAACATGTCCTCTCAGACCTCACCCAGATCTCCCCAGAGGAGATTTTCATAAAATAATATTCCTCTCCTATGCTGAACTTCGATTTCGTTAGTGAGAGAAAAACGGGCATTTTCCCTTTGCACTAGGCATTTGCAACTATGGATGACAAAAGGCAGGCATGAGCTAAGAGGGCAATTTGTGCCCCCTGGAGTGTTTAGACCACTTCTGTTTTGGAGGTTGCAAGATCTTTCAGACCTGAGGCCTAACTGGCCGATAGAAGGCTGTTGGGAAAGGACCAAAGTAGTGGTTCTCAAACCGTGGGTCATGCATGACCCCTCGGGGGTCTCATAGCCCATATTCACGTTATGATTCATTGCGACAGCAAAATTGCAGTTACGAAGCAGCAACAAAATTATTTTAGGGTTGAGGGGGTCACCACAACGTGGGGGAATTGCACTAAAGGGTCACAGCGGTAGGAAGGTTGAGAATGCTGGGCTAGAGTGTTTGTGCCTGGGCTCTCTGCTGCAGATCCACCCGGACTCGTGGTCTCACCGGCACAAAGAGGAGCTGTTTGTTCCCTCTGCGGCGCCATCTCTGCCGTGATGGACTGTATCCTCTCAAACCGCGAGCCCAACTAAATCCCTACAAAGTTGCTTCTGTAGACTATATCATCACCAAAACGGGAACGGTAACTAGGAGCCGGGTGGCACAGTGGTTAAGAGCACTTGTAGCTTTTGCGCAGGAGTAGGGTTCGGTTCCAGTGTCAACACTGTTCACCATCATCTGTAACTCCAGCGTCAGGAGATCTGATGCCTTCTTCTGGCCTCTGCAGGCACCGGGCATGTACGTGGGTGGTATAGAGACATATGTTCATATAAAACAACCATACACATTAAATAAAATAACAAATTTAAAAAAATAAAAAGAAGTAGGGTGGTGGCTTCAAATGTCTTTAATCCCAGCACTTGGGAAGCAGAGGCAGGAGGATCTCTGTGAGTTTGAGGCGAGCCTGGTCTACAGAGTGAGTTCTAGGACAGTTAGGACGACACAGAGAAACCCTGTCTCAAAAAAAAAAGAAAGAAAGAAAATATAACCCTGACCCAGGGATGGACAGCAAGACATCAAGGTTTCAACTAAATAAATGACTGGTCAAAAATTACACAGTTAAACTGGGCGGTGGTGGCTCACGCCTTTAATCCCAGCACTCGGGAGGCTGAGGCAGGCGGATCTCTGTGAGTTCGAGGCTGGGCTGGACCGACAGCCGCCAAAACAATACAGAGAAACCCTGTCTCATAAAAAACCAAAAAAAAAATTACACAGTTAAGAGACAATGAGGGACTGGGAAGATGGCCCAGTGGTTAAGAGCACTTGCTACTCTTATAGGGGACCCAGGTTCAATTCTCAGCAATATGTGCCGGCTCACATCCATTTGTAACTCCAGTTTCACTGGATGCACTGCCCTCTTCTGGCCTCTGAGGGCACTGCATGAATGCAGACAAAACACCTATACACATAGAATTGATATATATTTAATGAGAGAGAAAGGAGCTGGGACTCTGCTGCACAGTGCTTCTCGCTGCTGTTAGACTTTGTTTTGACGGATAGCTCCCGAAGAATGAGATGGAGACTCATTATTAATTCTGAAAGTGTGGCCTTTAGCTGAGGTTTGGTCCTATCTAGCTCCTTTTTTTTTTTTTTTTTTTTTTAGTTTTTCAAGACAGGGTTTCTCTGTATTGTTTTGGTTGTTTTGGAGGCTGTCCTGGAACTCACTCTGTAGACCAGAAGCCAGGGTTCCTCCGGGGATCTCAGGGGCTGGGGCTTTTGCACATTTTTTATGGGGTGCTACTGCCATGTTTCAACCCCACTTACCTCTGTCTATGTCTTCATTTCTATGGGAAAAATCAGTAAAGCTTGAGGAACAGAACCTCTGCCCTGTAAGGGTACTGTCTGAAAGGATTAGAAGGATTAAGAGGTGTGATCTTATGTCTCTGGGTCTGGACATTGAGGGTTCAGAGTCTCTCTGCCTGTGGATCGGGATGTAGATCTATACGCCTGCTCTAACGCCATGTGTGCCACCATGCTCCCTGCTTTGATGACCAAACCTCTGAAACTGTAAGCAAGTCCCCAAATACATGTTTTCTTTCATAGCAATTGTCATGGTCATGGTGACTCTTCACAGCAATAGAACAGTGACAAAGACATTCCCCGTCCTGGGTGTGGAGTGAACCCTTTCAGAACTGCATATAAATCTATGCAAAAGAGTAAAACAATTCTAAAGATCACTTGATTGACACCAGAAAGGATGAGGGTGCAGTGTTAACGTCCCATGAAAGGGCCTTGAAACCCAATGAGGGGGCCTTGGGCGCACACACCCTGATGGGGCCAGACATGTTCTGTTTTTGCCATTCTGTCCCGGGGGAAGGGAGACTGTTAGAGCAGTTTTAATGTGAATTTCCTGGTGGCAGAAGATGTTGAGTGCTTTTCATGATGCTTTCTTTAGAGAATTGTTTGTTCAGTCCATTGCCGCTTACTGATTAGATGGTTTGGTTTGGGGATGTTCAAGTTTTGTAGTTCTTTCTGTATTTTAGACATTACCCTTGTAGCTGAAGTATAACCAGCAAGGGTTGTAGTTCTCTTGTTCTGTAGTCTGCCTCTTCACTTTGTAGGGAGTTTCCTTTGCTGCGTGGAAGCTTACCAGTTTCACTAATTTCCCACTTGCCCATTCGTGGGGTCCTTTCCTGTGCTATTGGAGTCCTCTAGGGAAAGTTCTTGCTCACGCCCATACCTTGAGGTGTTTCTACCTCTGCTTTCCTCCCACACATTCCTCTCGTCAGCTTTCTACTCGTTTCTTTAATGCATTTTGAATAGATCCTGGTGCAGGATGAGGAACATGGGCCTAGTCTCATTCTTCTGCGTGTGAACAATCAGTTTTCCCAGCACCATGTGTTGAAGAGGCTGTCCTTTTGTTCCCCCTTGTAAATTTTTGACATCCTTGTCAAGGAATTGATGGCTAAAACTATGGGGGTTTATTTCTGGTCCTCTCTTATTTTTCCCCCATTGGTCTTATGGGTCTGTTTTTGTGACAATATTGTGCTATCTTTGTCTTGGTTAGGTCTCAAAGAAACCGGGGACAAATGGCTGAGGGGTCTATTTAACATTTCAAAGTGGACGATGGCCATCAGTCTCTTTCAGCATCGCCGATAACTATTACAGAGTCCTGGCTCCTCTCAGCCCTTCTCACCCACCCCTTACCCTGAGCCTCTCCAGCCCAGCTTCCCTTCCCTTCCCCCAGCTTCTCTGATTCCTACACAACCTCAGCCAATTTGGCTATGTGGTCTGTTGGTCTCTCGGTCCTTGGTTCCCCTCTTGCCTCCTTCTCTTTCCCTCCCAGCTGGTCCCCGCCTGGCCTGGTTCAGTGTAGACCCTTCCGAATGCCTCTGACTGGAGAATGGGATTGCTTCCGTTCTTGGTGCTCAAGTGTTCTTCTCATCGTTCCATAAAAAATTCAGTAAGTTAGCCACTTCCCGCTGTTGTGTTGAATTGTCTGGAGTGGACGCAAAAGGGTGTGTGTGTGTGTGTGTGTGTGTGTGTGTGTGTGTGTGTGTGTGTGCGCGCGCGCACTCTGGATCCCATGGTGAAAGACAGGAACAGACTCCCAAAAGTTGTCTTCTGATCTCCATACACACATACTTTTTAAAAATGTAGGTTATGAGCCGGGCGTTGGTGGCGCACGCCTTTAATACCAGCACTCGGGAGGCAGAGGCAGGCGGATCTCTGTGAGTTCGAGACCAGCTTGGACTACCAAGGGAGTTCCAGGACAGCCTCCAAAAGCCACAGAGAAACCCTGTCTCGAAAAACCAAAAAAAAAAAAAATGTAGGTTATGTGAAGATTGATATGACTGGGTGGTGGTGGCACACACCTCTAGTCCCAGCACTGAGGAAGCAGAGGCAGGCAGATCTCTATGAGTTCGAGGCCAGCCTGGTCTACAGAGCTAGTTCCAGGACAGTTAGGGCTGCTAAACAGAGGAGCCCTTTCTCAAAAACAAGAAAAAGATTGATATGGATCCCTGAACATCCTACTATATGTTTTTCAAAAGCTGCTTGATCTGCACCTATCCAAGCTAGCAATACTGTTTTTGCTTTTTTGTTAATTTTTTAGGAAGGGTCTCACAGTGTAGTTTTGGCAGGCCTGGAACTCAATGGGTAGACCAGGCTGACCTTGAACGCACAGAGATCTGTCTGCCTTTGCCTTCTTAGAACTGGAATTAAAAGTGGGCACCACCACACCTGGCCGAAGCTTGCAATATTTGATAAGGATAGTAATGTTAGGTACCCAAAGGGGAAATGATAGCTTCTATGTAAGTAGATTAATGAAATCTTTGGTCAAGGATAATCTGAAGTTAGATGTTGCCTAATTAGGATCTCTAAAGGGGAAACAAGCATGACAACCCTCTGTAACTGTGGGTCCAGGTTCATCTAACATTCATCAAGGACCAACATTGCAATAGACTCCAGCTGGACATTTAAGAAAGCACAACCCATTAAATTCAGAACAAAAGAATTAAGTTTCTTCCTTTGTGTTGAGCTGGGAAACATGGAAAAGGGAAGCTATTTTAGGACTAAGGAAGGGAGAAACTGCCTCGAACATCCCATGTAGGGTAAATATTTCAGGATCTGTCCTGGAGGCTCAAGGGTACATTTGGAAAGTCGAGTTTGCATAACAAACCACTCAGTTAATCCTTTGAAGAATGTGGTAAAAGTATTGGACACAAGAGATTCATTTTCTCTATATTAGCTCATCTTACATGGTAACGGAACGGTAACATGGAGTGTACCACCCACAGGGGGAGGATTTTCAGCACACAGTCCCATAGTTACTGTTCAGATCAGTTAAGGAAGAAAGCGCCTTGTGCACATGTGGAGAAGGTTTTCTGTGTGCTGTCTCCACTCTGGCTGTGTGCCTCCTATCTCACACTCTCTGCTTTCATGGGATCAAGGCTATTAGTTACCAAAGCACTTAGCACAGTGAGTTGCCTATGTCGGGCCGTTAGTAAGAAGCTGTGTTGAGTGCAGAGATGAAGCTCTAGGCCTTACGTACAGCAGATGTGAGTTCTTTATCTCCAGGCAGCACATCGTCCTTTCTCTCAGTAGCAGCATTCCGGTCACCATTCCGTGCCCCTTCCTTTCACGTGTAGTCTGCATGCACCGGGGGACCCTGACCCACTCTTAGCTCTGGTTCTTTGATTGCCTCCTGTTATCCTCCCACCCAGGGCAATTTGGTAAAAGGCACACCCTACTGCAGATCAGTGAAATGCAAGATACATGATATTTGCTGGAGATTTCAAGGAAAGAAAGAAACTTTCTTATTCTTTGGGAGCTACCTAGAGTAAAACTCTTTTCACACAGGGAATGAATGAAAACCTACATCTGGGGAGCTGGAGTGATGGCTCGGAGGTTAAGAGCACTGGCTGCTCTTCCAGAGGTCCTGAGTTCAATTCCCAGCAACCACATGGTGGCTCACAACCATCCATAATGAGATCCGGTGCCCTTTTCTGGCGTGCAGACATACATGTGGGCAGGATGTTGTATTCATAATAAATAAATCTTAAAAAAAAAAGGAAGACCTACATCTGTGAGAGATTTAGACAGTGGTGTCTTGTGCCCACAATGAAGGCAGCCTTGTCGAACTCAGGCAGTGCCGAAGACTAAGAAAGCCAGGGGAACAGCCGGGCGTTGGTGGCGCATGCCTTTAATCCCAGCACTCGGGAGGCAGAGGCAGGCGGATCTCTGTGAGTTCGAGGCCAGCCTGGTCTACAAGAGCTAGTTCCAGGACAGCCTCCAAAGCCACAGAGAAACCCTGTCTCGAAAAACCAAAAAGAAAAAAGAAAAAAAAGAAAGCCAGGGGAACAACCAACATTTCTAGCATTCAGAAGCTGGGATCAAGGCTTCCCTGAAAAACCACTATCTGTAAGGCCTTTTCCATTGTCTCAACCAGTGATTTTCCTCTCAAATGGTTGAAGAGGGATTATTTTTGTTGCTTTTACTTATAATCAAAATACTCCTAACCATATAATGAGAGCTTAGACATGATGACTCCTTTCAGGTTAATATTTAAAGATTCCATTAAGAACTCTACCACCAGGTGGTGGTGGTGCATGCCTTTAATCCCAGCCCTCAGGAGGCAGAGGCAGGTGAATCTCTGTGAGTTCGAGACCAGCCTCGTTTACTGTGGGAACACCAGACCTTGAGTAGAGAC